CAGTGGTTAAGAATCCGCCTGCCAGTGCAGGGGAAACGGGTTCGATCCCTGGTCTGGGAAGATCCCACATGCCCCAGAGTAACTAAGGCCGTGTGCCACAACTACTGAGCCTGTGCTCTAGAGCCCATGAGTGACAACTACTGAAGCCCGCATGCCACAACTACTAAAGCCCGTGTGCCTAGAGCCCGTGCTCCACAACAAGAGAAGCCATTGCAATGAGAAACCCTCGCACCGCAACAAAGAGCAGCCCCCACTAGTCGCAACTAGAGAAAGCCCGCATGCAGCAACGAAGACCTAACGCAGCCATAAATAAATAAATTTATTTATTTTAAAAAAAGAGAGAGAGCTAGAGGGAGATTACACAGACAGAAGAGGTGGGAGCAGTGTTGACCATGGGGCAGAGATTGGAGTGATGCAGCCACACGCTCAGGAATGCTTGCAGCCACCAGAAAAGACAAGGAATGGATTCTCCCTTAGAACCTCCAATGAAGTGCAGCCCTGGCGACACCATCATTTCAGCACAGTGACAGTGATTTCAAACCCAAAGACTTGGGTATAAGTGGTTTGTTCAGGAAGTGATTCCATGAAACAGAAATGAAGGAGGAAAAGAGTGGGACAGCAAAGGAGGAATCGAGACATAGGCGTGTGCTCCTCGGGTTACTGCTCTGGGTAACAACGCCTTCCCTTCAGCCGGACCTCCTGAGCAGTGTACAGAATACCTCTTAGGATTGTCCAACCATTCCTCCACTGACTCCTGTCTCCAGGCCCTGAGGCTGCCCCCCAGAGACCTAGGCTGTGCTGGTGAGTAGGCCAGGTAGGCTCCTGTGATGTCAGAGAAGGCCTGGGGCAGGAAGTTCAAAGACACACAGCAGGTGCCAGAGATGCATCTCTGTAAGTCCACTGCAATTAAAGGTGTGCTGAGGGCATCATTCAAGACATCAGCTCTTGTATCCCACAGTCTACACAGGCACCACATTAAGTCCACGCTGCCGTGATTCTTTGAGGTGAAGTCTCGAAGGTCACGACCTTTACAAAAGCCTTAATATAAGTGTGTCAGTAGAACAAATACAGTCCCCACTGCCACACCTGCTCCTGAGGCTGTAGCTAATATTGGTCATGTCCCTTCTCCTCTGCCCATTCTAGGTTTCCCTCACTGTCAGCCAGCATTTCAGCTGGTCCACATGGCCCTCCTGGTCAGGTTAAGAGACCTCCATCCTTGAAGGCTCTGAGCCCTTGGCAGGCTGTGGCTGCTCTTATCACTTGGCATGGAAGCAACCAGACAGAACCAGGCGAGTCCTCCATGCTAGGCCAACTCCTGATTGCCCCTTTAAGTAGCAGCAACCCTATCTACCTCTAATAATCGGGATCTATTATCCCCTCCTTCTTTGCCTGCTGGTTCACCGGCACAAGGAGCTCAAAGTGACCTGGTGGAATTTGCAGATTCTGGTTCAGTGGAGGCTTCCTTCCCTGGAATCAGTGGAAGCTCCCTTGTGGAAGTGTTCCCTACCTGGGAACCAGGGGGCCTAATCCAGCAGAGCTCTAGGCTGCTCGTAGGTAATACAGGGTATCACAGAAGCGGTACAGCCCACAGCAATCTATACGTTGCTGTACCTTTTTCACTGTAAAATGAGTTTCTTGGTCCAAGGTAATGTTATACATGATCCCGTCTTGGTAAATAGAGCATTCTCTAAGCTGCTAGATAGTAATGCTACTCTAAGACCTTGTGGATAGGGAAGGCAAACTCATATCCAGAGCCGGTATCAATTCCAGTAAAGATGAATCAATCTCTCTCCTGGGTGGGAAGGATCTGCTGTAACGAACCTGTCACCAAGTCATCTAGGGATGGTACCATATCAGGAGCTCAGCACTAAGACTGCTAACAGGTCAGAAATTCATAGGCAGTAATAATTAGATAAGCCTTGATAAGAAAGAGCCTGTGTTGGTGGGCATAGCTTGCCACCATGGCAACTCCATTCACAGCCTCACCTTACAAGCACAAGTGTAGCCAAGGACAGAAGCTGACTGACATCTATCCATCCAATTTGTTACCCAGTGACCCCTGTGCAGTGGGTATGAACATGAGGCACAAAGATACACACACTTGTGTCCAGTGCTACAGGTCCATCTCCTTTCCCAGACCTCCTTGTCTCCAGTATCCCCTCTTGCTCTTGCCAGGTCCCCGACCAACGAGCAAGGCATCTGTCTCAACCCAGAAGTTTATGTGCTCACCTTCCTGAGGCCACTATTCTGTCCACTCCCTTCCCTCCCTACGAAGTGAGTATCCAAGTGTACTGCTCGAAGCTCTGGTCTCTGGAAGAATTCTCTTCGTGACTGTCCTTCAGAGCCACCTGAAGTGGGATGGTAGTGCAGCAGTACTTTATTACCAGCTCATACCAACACACCAAGCTGACCCATCTGTGAACCAGACCTAAATGTTTCTTCCTGTCTGCTAAGAAGCACTGCTACAAGGTGGGAGATGTGCGGGCCACAGCCACCTCTTCCTATAAATGACCAGTACTCTCTGGACAGACTGGGCTCCAAACCTTTTTCATTGGGCAGTGAATTGCTACTGAGCCTGGTGGACTTGCCAGTATCTAGTTTAGGACAGGCAGATTTGGTCACATGATCATTTGATGCCCCATAATCAGGCACCCAGTCTCTAATTGGGCCCCATAGTGTGCCAGAAGCTGCTTTCAATTGGTGAGTAGTTCTTCACTGTAGCTGGCATGGTCTTGCTTCAGAACCCTAGGGGTGAGCACCCCAAATCTCCCGTTGGAGCCTACCAAAGGTGCTGCACAGGGTCCCTATCTCCCACAGATAAGCCGTAACCCATTGGTTCTATTAAGAGACAGGGGAACCGATCCTCCAGTGTGGATCTTCACCAGAGCCCTCCTTTGCTCTGGGCCCCATTCAAAACCAGCAGTCTTCCAAGCCACCCGATAAATGGGTCAGAACAGTATTCCCAAGTGTGGTACATGCTGACTCCAAAATCCAGAGTTGCATGGAGTGGTAGGCCTCATTTTTCATGTTAGGGATGCAAGATGCAGTAATTTGCCCTTATATCAGAGGTGATGGCCTGGTTTGCCCTACAACACTGCACCCCTGGAAACTCCACTGATGACAGGCCCCAGAACTTCTGAGGGTTTATCTCTCATCCTCTGACATGCATTGTCTTACCAGGGGCAGAGCACTTGTCACTTCCTTCCTCACCATGTCCAGTTAGCATAATTTCATCAGTTTTATGGAGAATGTCCAGATGATCAAGGTCTCAACGATTACACTGTGACAGAAAGCATGACTTAAAACAGCCTTGAAGTAAGACAATGTATATGTTTGGCTGTCCTTCCCATATAAAAGTGAACTGCTTTTGGAAACTTACTCTTTACTACTGGAAATTGAAAGGAATGTTCACCACATCAATTGCATTATCAGGTGCCAGAGGTACATTAATCAGTTCCAGTACAGACACCTCACCTGACACAGCTGCTGTGATTAGGGATACTAATTGGCTAAGTTTGTGGTAGTCCACCATCACTTACTTGAATCCATCTGGATTTTGCAGGGGCCACTCAGGTGAATTGAAGGTGATGTAATAGGGATTTATGTCTTTGAGAGTAAGCAATCTCTGCAACCCCACATGGAATGCAGCATTGGAGAGTGTGGGGAGTTTCAGAGGCTTCCACTTCACTCTTCCTACCATGACTCTTCTTATTCCACAGGTCAGGGATCAATGTACAGGCTCTTCCCACTGCTAGGTATAATTACCCCAAGTATGTACTGGGACCAGAGAAGTGACCTCAACACTTGGGTCAGGACTCTGTTTATCATCTGACTTCCACAGCCTCCACTCAAACCAGTGACTCATGACGCTTCATATACCCTGGCACACGTGTCACCTCAGATCTTGTATCCAACAGCCCTTGAAAGGTCTGGATAGTCCCTTTTCCAAAGTAAACGTGTTACTTTGTTAAGAGGCGCTGGGTCCCTTTGGGGAAGGATTAGAGGAATACTATTTTATGTACTTATGGTGGCACTGTAGGATCCTTTCTATAAGAGACCAAGCCTCCCTTTCAACCAGTGGACTCCAGGTCTCAGAACTGGCTCAGATTTAGATACAGAGGGAGGGATCATGATTTCCCATTGCAGTGACTGGCATTTGCTTTCTGATCACCAATTCTTGATTTCTTTCTCGTTATTCAAATCAAACACCACTCAGGTCAGCTGTCCATCTACTTCACCCCAAAGAACACCATGGTCCAACAGCGCCACAGATCCCTGTGGATCAAGTCCTCCTGGTCGCCACTCCGGCGGCATGGGGCAGAAGAAATGCAAGGAGGCATTTCAAACTGCTGCGGTGGGACAAGGAGACGTGATGCAGCCCCAGGTGCCTGCTCCAAGCTGTGAGCCTCTCCTCCTGTGCTTGATTTTAGGTCTGGAGGCAAGAGGGGTAGTGGAGCAGGACATGAAGACAGTGGTTTCAAGCAGGGTAACAATAGCCTCCTCTAAGCGGCGGGCTTCAACTGACAAGGGAGTCTCAGCGGTGAGGAGGGATTTAAGGTTACGCATCAACAAATGTTTATTCGGCACCTACCAGGGGCCCCACACTCCCCACCCCCTAGATGTGAGCGCCACACACACACTCTCTCCCTTTCCCCCACACTCAGGGCTCGCCACACTCATTCAACGGCCCTCTTCCTTGCCCAACTGCCCCGGGGACCAAATCTGTACAGTGAGGGGCTGCCGCCGCCGCTGACCGCGCTGCCCTGTCCGCTCCCAGACCCCGACAAAGGCCCACCTCGCCTCACGAGCACTTTCCCGGTGACACCGCCCTTATGCGCCAGACCGGCTTCTCAGCCCGGTACGCGCCACCCGCCCACGTGTTTCGCTCACGTGACACGCCACTGCGCCGTGGGCCCGACCGCTCAGGACGCTTCTGATTGGCCCGTGCCATTTCCTGCTTCCGGGTTAAGGTCCAAACAGCACTGTCTTTTCGAGCGGCCCCGCCAAGAGAGAGAGGCCATTGGTCTTCGCTCTGAGCAGGGGCGGGGCACAGCCTTCGGAACTAGCACCCGGACGAGGGTCTCCGAGACAGCCGAGCGGCGCCGCAAAGAGCCGAATAGAGCCAAGGAGACCCGAGTACGACCCGAGCAGCGCAGGCTGGCCGGAAGCGGAGCCGAGCGCAGCCGGAAGGAGCCGAGCGCGCCCGAAGGGTCTGTGCGCGGCGCGGCGTTGGCCGGGCCAAGCCCGAGCCATGGCGGCTGAGGGGACAGATGTGGCCAGAGGCGGGGCTGTTGGAGGCCGCCTGGCCAAGGACAGCTTGCGGCAGGCTATGTGCCCCGACGCGGCCCCGAACCGGAGGCGCGGCTCGGCGCGGTCGCGAGACGCCGAGCGCCGAGCCTACCAGTGGTGCCGGGAGTACTTGGGCGGGGCCTGGCGCCGAGTACGGCCGGAGGAGCTGAGGGTTGACCCCGTGAGGTGGGAGGTCAGGGGTCAGCCCCTCTTGTGCGCGGGCCGGGGTCAGGCTTAGGCTCGGGTCCTCGGGACACTCAGCGTTCCTGGGCCGGGGTCGGGGCAGGGCCGGGAGCTACGGGGGAGCGCGGGGCGCGGGGGCTGGACGCCGGGCCGGTGGAGCGGATGGCGGGCTGAGCGTGCCCTGCTGTGGGTCTGCAGCGGAGGCCTCAGTAACCTGCTCTTCCGCTGCTCGCTGCCTGACCACCTGCCCCGCGTTGGCGAGGAGCCCCGGGAGGTGCTGCTGCGGCTGTACGGGGCCATCCTGCAGGTGAGGAGGGAGTGAAGGCCGCAGTGGCCTTAGGTCCTCTCACCCAAGTGTGGCAGGTGGTATGGTCTCTACTAAGCAGTTGAGGACACTGAGCCTTAGGGGCTAAGTATTTTGTCCATTATGATACTAACGCCTGCGCTCTGGAGTCTCCCGGGCAATAGAACAGGAAGTCCAGATAGAACCAGCCAAATAGAACCAGATGTGGTGGGAGGAGCAAGAAAACCCTCGTGTGTGTCAGCACCACTTTGCCTCTGGCCCCTTGTGACCGTGGTCCCTTCGCTGTCTGTTTTCCTTCAGGGAGTGGACTCCTTGGTCCTTGAAAGTGTTATGTTCGCCATCCTTGCAGAGCGGTCACTGGGGCCCCAGCTCTATGGAGTCTTTCCAGAGGGCCGGCTGGAACAGTACATCCCAGTACGAGCCCGGCCCCGACCTCCCCGAAGCATCTCCTTCCCTAGCCCCTATTCCCCTTCCCAATGTCTGCTTTCACATCCCTCACCCCAGGTAGGGAATTTTCCCCAAGCCCTGACTTCCCCCACCTCCATTGCCCCACCCTTCCCCCCTCCTGCCCCAGCCCCTTCACCACCCTGATAGGTTCCTGGGTGCAGAGCCGGCCACTGAAGACGCATGAGCTTCGAGAGCCCGTGTTGTCCGCAGCCATCGCCACGAAGATGGCCCAGTTCCATGGCATGGAAATGCCTTTCACTAAGGAGCCCCACTGGCTATTTGGGACCATGGAGCGGTGAGTTGGGGGCCTCCTCAGGACTCCTGCACATAGGCTGAACCCTCATGTTGGCAGTTACTACACTGGGCTGTGACTGAATGCATCTAGTGCTCTGTCCAACTCTCCAGTTGAGTGGATCAAGTGTCCCACTGTCTAGCATGGTTTCTCAAGCAACAGGCTTCCAAATGATTGCCAGACAAGTCATTCGGTGACCGAATGGGTAGGACAACCTGGCCTGGGGTAGAGGGGAGGGATAGCAGAGTGAGTATATCCTATTCTTTGGGCTTCAGGTATTTAAAGCAGATCCAGGACCTACCCCCCACTGGCCTCCCCCAGATGAACCTGCTGGAGATGTACAGCTTGCAGGACGAGATGGGCAGCCTCAGGTGAGGGCAGGCAGGATGGGGCATGGGTGGGGGGGTGGGGACAGAAGAGCACAGGAGATGTGCCAGGCACCTAGTGGGGTCCTACCCAGGATTTGCTGAAGGCTGGGGTCAAGGCCTCACCCATGCGGGTGCCTCTGACCCTCCTTTCATCACTCCTGCTCAGGACCCTTGCCCTGTGTTCCCCTGCAGGAAGTTGCTAGACTCTACCCCATCACCAGTGGTCTTTTGCCACAATGACATCCAGGAAGGTAGGAGAAGGCATCTGAGTCTCCCATCCTCAGGTGAGGGGGGCCAGAGGACCCTGGAGTGATCAGAACCTCACCACATTTCTCCAGGGAACATCTTACTGCTCTCAGAGCCAGAAAACGCTGACGGCCTCATGCTGGTCGACTTCGAGTACAGCAGTTATAACTACAGGTGAGGGTAAGAGGATGGCCTCCCATGGGTCTGTTCCCACAGTGCCCTGGAAAAGCAGACCAGGCCCTCATCTCTGCATCCCAGCTGCCCAGCGTATTTGGGGACTGAGTGTCCACCTTATTCCCTCAGGGGCTTTGACATTGGGAACCATTTTTGTGAGTGGGTTTACGATTACACTCATGAGGAGTGGCCTTTCTACAAAGCGCAGCCTGCAAACTACCCCACCCGGGGACAGCAGGTATGTGGGCCAGAAGCTGGGAGCAGGACCTGGCTTAGAAGGGAGAAGGAGGTTGAAGTCTGGAAGGAATGGCGAGCAAGGGTGTTAACTGGGAAGTGCTCCCCGGTCTCCCCATTTCCTGACTCTTGTCTTTTGATCTCAGCTCCATTTTATTCGCCACTACCTGGCGGAGGTAAAGAAAGGTGAGACCATCTCCCAAGAGGAGCAGAGGAAACTGGAAGCAGATTTGCTGGCAGAGGCTAATAGGTGAGGAAAGATGTGTGGGGCAGGGGTGGAGCAGGGTGCAGAGGCAAGGGGGGGAATGTGGCAGGTAGACTCACTGGGCTGCAGGTTAGGGGTCAGTGCAAAGTGGGGGTAGGAAGTGAGGATGAGGTCTGAGGCTGATGGGGAAGAACAGTTGGAGAGTGGGAAGAGTCAGGACAGGGTAGGGGTTAGGACGATAGGGGAGAAGTGAGAGCTTTGGGGCTTGACCAGCCTGGAGGAGGGGGTTCAGGCAGTGCCAAATGTGCTCTGAACCCCCTTTTTCCTGCTCCCCCTCAGGTATGCTCTGGCATCTCATTTCTTCTGGGGTCTCTGGTCCATCCTCCAGGCATCCATGTCCACTATAGAATTTGGTTACTTGGTAAGTAACCAGGTTGGGTGAGTTAGGTGTGGGGACAGGGTGCAGCAGAGGCCTCGGACCCTCTAGGCCAGTTGTGGGCAGACTGAGGGGGGTGTGGGGTGCTAGTCCCACCCCTTCTCACCAGTGCGTGGGGTTCCTTCCTTAGGAGTACGCCCAGTCTCGGTTCCAGTTCTACTTCCAGCAGAAGGGAGAGCTGACCAGCTTCCACCCCTCATCCTGACTCTCCACCTCCCAACTCCTTGGATTTCTCCTGGAGCCTCCAGGGCAGGACCTTGGAGGGAGGGACAAAGGGGAGGCCCTGGCGACTGGGCTGAGCCCGAGTGAGACTGGGGTTAAGGAGGCTGATCTTCCGCCCCGCCCCCCCCGAGTTTGAGCAGGTCCCCACTGCAGGCAAGTGGGCAGAAGCCCTGGCATGTGCACCTTAAGACAATAAACTAGCTTCTTCCTTCACACCGTCCCAACCTTGCTTGGGTGCGGCGGAAAGTACCGACCAAGGACTGTACACAGATTGACAAAGGGGCCGCTGCTAGGAGCCTCAGTTTCCCCTCCTGAAAAGCGTGGCTGTTGGGTGATCTGGGCTTGAAAGTGGTTAGGGGTCCATTCTGCTGTCCCCCACCCCGGCTCCAGCTTGGAAGTGATAAATACTCAGAGGACTTGGGTGGCTGTGGGGAGTTACGGGGTACAAAGTGGGCCCCGGGGTGGGGCTTCCCAGCCCTGAGCACTGGAGATCAGGGAACAGGAGGCACAGCTGACACACTGGTGACCTTTTCCCTACATTCGGCTATTTTTAGCTCTAATGCCACCATCCTCACGTGAGACCCGTTGGGCCCCCCAGGGTCTCAGACCTTTGAGCCATCTTCATCTTGCAGAAACCCGGCTCCCCCCCAACTCCTGATTCCCGCCTCAGAGCCGGGGAGATTCTGGTTGCCAACCCCCAACTGTTCTCTAAACCCAAATTTGGGAGTGGGTGTCAGGTTCCCGGTGAGGGCGGGACTTAGGTGGCCAGTCCTGAAGGACGTGGGGACACAGGCCACAGTGACTATCCCCACAAGCGGACAGGAGCACACCCGAGCCGTGAGTGGAGTTGGGGGTGGCTCTGGGCTGCCGGCCTGGCCCAGGGCTGTGAGCCGGCAAGTGGGGCGGGGGAGGGGGTTTGAGGCTGGTGCCAGGGTCCCACGTGGCAGCGCTGGGGGTACGCAGACCCCGCCTCACTCCAGACCAGACCGACTCCGCTTCCGGGGCCCCTCTAGCCCCCATCCCGAGGCCGCCCTACACTGTCCTCGGGATTCCTGACGTTTTCAAGGCCCTGACCCCCTTCCGACCCCCGCACCGTCGCGCGAAGGCTCTGCGGCGGTTGGCGAGGCTGGGGGGCCAGGGGTGGGGCCTCGGCCCTGCGGGTGGCAGACCCAGGGCGGAAGGGGAGGGAGGCGGGCTGGGGGCGCGGCCAGTGGCCGGGGGCGGGGCCTCGACGCCGGCGGCCGAGCTGCCCGCACACCCTCCTGCCACCTCCCAGGTGCCCAGCAACCCACAGGATGGCGGAAGCCCACCAGGCTGTGGCCTTCCAGTTCACCGTGACGCCAGAGGGGGTCGACTTCCGGCTCAGTCGGGAGGCCCTAAAACACATCTACTTGTCCGGCATCAACTCCTGGAAGAAACGCCTGATTCGCATCAAGGTGGGTGCAGGTGGTTCTGGTCTCTTCCAGCAGGTGCAGAATCGAGCCTTCCAGGGAGGCAGAGGCTAGGTGTCAGCTGCTGCCCATTGTCAAGATCCTCCACCCCCATCTCGGCTGGCAGCTCTGTGGAGTGACAGGCTCCAGCAGTGCAGAAACCAGAGGGGTGCTCAAGGTGTGGAGAGGAGATGGGTGTGCAGGAAGTGTCCGTGGGACACAGTAATCAGGTGCTGCAGGTGTGGGAGTGTGAAGGGGAGTCCACCAGACGTGGAGGAGAAATGAAAACAGGCAAAGACTTCATAGGTGCCTGCTTACCCCAGTCCTTGCTCTGTGAGCATTCCTGTTTTTGCCCACAGAATGGCATCCTCAGGGGTGTGTACCCTGGCAGCCCCACCAGCTGGCTGGTCGTCGTCATGACAACACTGGGTTCCTCCTACTGCAACGTGGACATCTCCATGGGGCTGGTCTGTTTTATTCAGAGATGGCTTCCTGAGGGGTAAGAAGTGGGGCCATGAGAAAGGGCTGGGTGGGCTCCAAGGCCAAGCTTCCTGAGCTGGGCAGTTAACAGGACGACAGCCATTGGAGGTAACAGGGGCAGCCCTCCCTGGGGGCGACCACCAGTTCGGTCCCTACTTCTGTAACTTCGTGTGTGATGCACTCAGAGGCTCAGATGTGAGTGTGTCCAGGGAGTTTTTCCTCCCTTGGTGCCTCCCCCGAGATGGCTCACATGCATCAGGACTGCAGAGTCAGAATCTCCCTGAGGTTGGTCTCAAGTGGAGCCCCTGCAGTCCTCTCCCCTTCTCTGATAGATGTGGCCCCTACCGGACCCCACAGACGCGGACGCTTCTCAGCATGGCCGTCTTCTCCACGGGGGTCTGGATGGCGGGCATCCTCTTCTTCCGCCAGACCCTGAAACTGCTGCTCTCCTACCACGGTTGGCTGTTTGAGATGCACGGCCAGACCAGCCGCTTCACCAAAGTCTGGGCTGTGAGCAGAAGCTGGTGGAGGGGTCCAGGCATCGGGTTTGAGACCCCAGGGCCTCACTTTGGGTTCTGAGCTGGAGGGGACAGCCAGGCGGGGCACTGGTGCCTGGCGGGGTTTGTCCCGGTTCTGAGGGTCTGGGGTAGCCCCTCCAGTGTTTGCTAGTTTCCACTCTTTCCCCCGGCTTCCCCCTCAACATTCTCCACTCCGTACCCCCAGATGTGTGTCCGCCTTCTGTCCAGCCAGCGGCCCATGCTTTACAGCTTCCAGACATCTCTGCCCAGGCTGCCCGGGGGCCTCGACGCCGGCGGCCGAGCTGCCCGCACACCCTCCTGCCACCTCCCAGGTGCCCAGCAACCCACAGGATGGCGGAAGCCCACCAGGCTGTGGCCTTCCAGTTCACCGTGACGCCAGAGGGGGTCGACTTCCGGCTCAGTCGGGAGGCCCTAAAACACATCTACTTGTCCGGCATCAACTCCTGGAAGAAACGCCTGATTCGCATCAAGGTGGGTGCAGGTGGTTCTGGTCTCTTCCAGCAGGTGCAGAATCGAGCCTTCCAGGGAGGCAGAGGCTAGGTGTCAGCTGCTGCCCATTGTCAAGATCCTCCACCCCCATCTCGGCTGGCAGCTCTGTGGAGTGACAGGCTCCAGCAGTGCAGAAACCAGAGGGGTGCTCAAGGTGTGGAGAGGAGATGGGTGTGCAGGAAGTGTCCGTGGGACACAGTAATCAGGTGCTGCAGGTGTGGGAGTGTGAAGGGGAGTCCACCAGACGTGGAGGAGAAATGAAAACAGGCAAAGACTTCATAGGTGCCTGCTTACCCCAGTCCTTGCTCTGTGAGCATTCCTGTTTTTGCCCACAGAATGGCATCCTCAGGGGTGTGTACCCTGGCAGCCCCACCAGCTGGCTGGTCGTCGTCATGACAACACTGGGTTCCTCCTACTGCAACGTGGACATCTCCATGGGGCTGGTCTGTTTTATTCAGAGATGGCTTCCTGAGGGGTAAGAAGTGGGGCCATGAGAAAGGGCTGGGTGGGCTCCAAGGCCAAGCTTCCTGAGCTGGGCAGTTAACAGGACGACAGCCATTGGAGGTAACAGGGGCAGCCCTCCCTGGGGGCGACCACCAGTTCGGTCCCTACTTCTGTAACTTCGTGTGTGATGCACTCAGAGGCTCAGATGTGAGTGTGTCCAGGGAGTTTTTCCTCCCTTGGTGCCTCCCCCGAGATGGCTCACATGCATCAGGACTGCAGAGTCAGAATCTCCCTGAGGTTGGTCTCAAGTGGAGCCCCTGCAGTCCTCTCCCCTTCTCTGATAGATGTGGCCCCTACCGGACCCCACAGACGCGGACGCTTCTCAGCATGGCCGTCTTCTCCACGGGGGTCTGGATGGCGGGCATCCTCTTCTTCCGCCAGACCCTGAAACTGCTGCTCTCCTACCACGGTTGGCTGTTTGAGATGCACGGCCAGACCAGCCGCTTCACCAAAGTCTGGGCTGTGAGCAGAAGCTGGTGGAGGGGTCCAGGCATCGGGTTTGAGACCCCAGGGCCTCACTTTGGGTTCTGAGCTGGAGGGGACAGCCAGGCGGGGCACTGGTGCCTGGCGGGGTTTGTCCCGGTTCTGAGGGTCTGGGGTAGCCCCTCCAGTGTTTGCTAGTTTCCCCTCTTTCCCCCGGCTTCCCCCTCAACATTCTCCACTCCGTACCCCCAGATGTGTGTCCGCCTTCTGTCCAGCCAGCGGCCCATGCTTTACAGCTTCCAGACATCTCTGCCCAGGCTGCCCGTGCCCAGCGTGCCAGCCACGATTCATCGGGTGAGGGCCTGGGTCAGACATCCCAGTGGGCAGGGCAGGCTGGACTCGGAGGACTTATCCGAACATAAGGGACTCTCCCCTACAGAGGGTCTGCTTGAGAGGGAGCAATGGGGCTGGGCTTGAAAGAAGGTCAGGACAGAGGCAGCCCTTGCTGACTGGCCCTCACACGGGCAATAACTTGGCTGGACAGTACCTAGAATCCGTGCAGCACTTATTGGGTGATGAGGAATATAACCGAATGGAGACGCTGGCCAAGGAATTCCAGGAGAAGACTGCCCCCAGGCTGCAGAAGTACCTGGTACTCAAGTCATGGTGGGCAACCAATTATGTGAGTTCTACCTCCTGGGCTTACCCTCTCCCACCCTGTGTCCTGGCTGCTCACAGCCCACCCTCCTCTGACCCAGCTCCAACTTCCCACCCACCCGCAGGTGAGCGACTGGTGGGAAGAGTATGTCTACCTTCGAGGCAGGACTCCCCTCATGGTGAACAGCAACTATTACGTCATGGTAAGTGCTAGAGCCACACTATCTCCTGTGTGCTTAGCTCTGTCCCCAGCTCTGGTCTCAGGGCAAGGAACCTGAAGGACAGTTCAGAGCCCTAGTGGTGGTTTCTGTAGGCAAGTGGGGGTTCTGAAGTGAGGCCTGAAGGAGAGGGAAGATGCGGGGGTGGGGGTGGGGGTCATATCCTGGAAGAATAGTCAGGAAGCAGCTCGCAGGCGACGGGGATACTGAGGGTCTGAAGAGCCCAGTAGACCCCACAGGCTGATACTGTCACTCCCAGAGTTCCTCAGGCTCACTGTCCTGCCCAGCTCAGGCGCTCTCACTTCCTTCCTTGTTCCCTTGCTGGCATTCCAGCCACAACTTCCCAGCCGTCCTGACGCCGTTACCAGGGAACTTCCTTAAGTGTGTCTTAAGCAGATCCAGAGCTGCTGCTTGTAGAGCTCAGGGGGTCACTGTCGGTCCCTATCCCACACGACTGGCCCTTTTCCTGCTCCTAGT